GGGGGGTGCGTGTGGATATTCCTAAAGTTATAACCTCAGGAAAAATCCTTAAGGATTAGAAAGCCTACCGATTTTACTGCTGTTATATTTACCCAAATAAGGGGAAGGTTCCAAAATCCAATTCTCCACGATGGTAGTCCTTAATTAAATGTCTTACTAATAATTTTCCAGTGGTGCATTCTAGTGAATCACGATTTTCTCTCTCTTCAGTTACGCACACCCTAAAGTTCTAGTTTCATAAATAAAGAGTGCTTCAGTATCACCTGAGCTACCTGGAACAAAGTCAGTGTTATTTCTGAGTACAGGATGTTAAATCTGAGATGTTCTTAGTTTTGAAGTCCTCTGTACTCACCTTGCTCTTAGTCACATTTCTTGACCAGCCCTCTCGCCCTCCCCACGTAATGCAGCGTGCAACTTTATGATGCTGACCAACTGCAATTTCCCTCACTGGGTTCATTAATGTATGTGCAAATAAATATTTATCGAACTAATATTTTTTTTTTAACCTAAGTTAGGATTATGGCACAAAGTATTATCTGTGCTGTAAACATCATGAATTCCTCACAAAACTGAAAGGAGGGGGCAAAAAAGGCCCTACGCATTGCAAGTATTTCTTGTAGAACCACAGCTGAGCCCAAGATTTCCAAATGGATTCTGGAATGGGTTTACATTTGGCATACATTCACTGTGCTACTGGCAAAGCACAGATTTACGAGAAGGTCATTCATAAAATCATACTTTGTAAGGACTTGTTATTTTTAAAACCAATGACCTAATAAAAGCATGCAGTAACTTAAAAAATATATCTATTATGTGGCGCAATTAGGTCTTAGTTACCAGTGTTGATATACCTTGATGAATCATTGTACAAGCAAAAGGGATCTCATCACTTCTGATTGTACTTTTGACAAAGGGCACAATATGCTTAATTCGTGACTACTGCAAATCACATTTTAAAACATCTTGTTTGTGTGTTGGAAATTGCCCCTGAAAAAAAGCAGCAATTACAAATACCCTTATTATTGCCCCCACCCTCCCAATCATATTCTGAGTGCTTTTTCCTGTCCTTCTCTTCAGTAGGAAGCAACAGGAAAAAGCATGGGGAGCCTTGGTTTTCCAGAGCTTTGACCAGGTAAGTCTGCTCTGGGGATTCACAGTTTGCCTGCATAAACTGTAACATGTCACACTATGATTCGAAGTTCTAGTTTATAAAATAAGGGCCACTCAGCAGTAACTTGAACAATTGGGATTCCACAGAAGAGCTCTTGGCTTCTCTGTGTACATTCTTTCAGGAATAAATCCTTTCCCAGTTTCAAGTATCCCTTTCTGTCTCACTCTGTAATGAGTTAAGAAAGAGAAAAAACCCCTCCCCATGTTTCCTGTAGTGAGCACCGGCAGCTACAGTGCCATCCCTCCTCCCCCTATGTAATCTGAAATGGAAAGGCTGGACAGGTGGAGACCCCCGCGCTTCCTTCTCTTCTAATGGTCACTCCGTTTCACTGTCAACTTGGTGCAGACTCTTCTGAACTCAGGTTTACCGGGGCATCTCGCACTGCTCACAGCGATTTAGTGCTGGGTGGTTCAGAAAGGTGCAGCTGTCACAATTCCATGGCGCCCCTTCATAGTCTTCATCTCGGGGTTGTGTGTGAGGATTGTGTTTGGAGCCAGGTAGACGCTCTGAGGGAAGTGAGGACAGAGAAAGAAAAGAGATTGATTTTTTCCCAAGTATAATCCAAACTGAAATTAAAAACTACCCAAAAACAAAAAAAAAAGGGAGGGAGCTTCCTACTTTACTAATTGGCTTTGGCTTTCACATTAGGTATACATAGCTACTAGAAATGCACAACCAAACAGGAAGTTTATGATATATATTCTACTTTGTTCTAAATGATTTACTGTTTTGTTGTACGATAGAAGTCCAGCACAGATTACCTTCCCAGCTCATTATCCACAGAGAGTGGGTAGTTATTCCAGCCAAATGAAAAGTGAGGTGCTACATAGCATGTTCAAATTAATTCTGCCGCCTCCTGCCATCTTCAGCCCTCTGGGACTCCCTCTTATACTAGCCACACGACATTAAACATCTGATTAAACGTGTGCCTTCTTCCAGGAGACCTTCATTTTCACAATATGCACGTTTAATAATAATGGTTCATACATGGCAGTAAGAGTTCATAACAAAGTTTTCCCCAAAATGGTAAAAAGAGAAAGATAAAGACCCTACAGTTAGATTTTCATAAAGCTAAATTCATTCACTATAAACAATTATCTTTTATTCTGATGCTTCCCTACCTATTAATTTTTTTAAATGTCTATACCTAGCAATATAAAATGCCGGCAACCTTATGTTAGTCCTTGGGATATTTTTTTTAAAACCTCAAAACCAGGCCCGGCCGGGCGTGGCTCAGCGGTTGAGCATCGACCTAGGATCCAGGCGATCCGGGTTCGATTCCCGGTCAGGGCACATGCCCGAGTTGTGGGCTCGATCAATGACTCTCTCATCATTGATGCTTCTCCCTCTCCTTTCCTCTCTCTGAACTCAATAAAGATATATTTAAAAAAAAACACCTCAAAACTAGGCCCTGGCTGGGTTGTTTAGTTAGAGCATCGTCCCCATACGCCAAGGTTGTGTTCAATCCCCCATCAGGGGACATACAAGAATCAACCAATGAATGCATAAATAATTGGAACAACAAATCGATGTTTCTTTTTCTCCCTCTCTCTCCTTCCCTCTCTTAAAAAAAAATCAAGACCAAAGAAAAACCACACCTTGAAACTTAACTTATACTCTTCCTAGGTCCTCACTCTCTGGCTTTGTGCTTCTACAGTTAATTTGTAAATCCTGCCTTTTAGGAACAGTCCCTACCAGCAACTAGAGGCTAAAGATCTCCAGATTGAATTCCCCTGGAATCTGGAGCAAGGTCAGGAGGCTGTGAAAATCCACCATAAACACTGGAAATTCCTCACTATGAACTGGAGATGACATATGACCTAAGGTAAGGAGCAGGTAACAAAAGAAACTGAGATCTGGAAGTTTTAATCAGTTACCATTTGGGGTTAAGCATATGTTCCGCTGGAAGTTAATGAGCTGACGGTGGTTTACCAATTTGTCTTTAATGCTCATGTGAACGTTCTCCAAGAGGCAGAGAACTGAGTGTTAGACTCTGGACCTTACCACAAACTTAAGGCTCAGGCTTTAATCAGGAGGTGATCTTATAGCCTCACAACAGAAGAGAAAACCACTGGGTTCTCTAGCCTCTTCCTATCTGTAAAAAGGAGATGGGCTTGTTTCTCTAGCCTCAACTGTTGCTTTTACCTGTGATTACCACCTTTTAATAGTCTTTTTTTTTTTTTTTGGTCTCATGGAGGAATAAAAAGCACATTAAGCACACTGTCAAAGCTTTCTGTTAGAGGAAAAATGTTCTACATGCCATTCATTTTTAGAAAAGATCCTCTCTCCTATAGTAATCTTGACCTTTTAAAAGAACAAAATGCCCTGAAAACTGAACTGTTAAAATTTAAGATGTGACTGTCACATCTTTTTATGCTAACTACAAATGTAGCCTTCAATTTTAGACTGTAGCAGTGCAAATGTTTAATATGAAAAGGTTTTTCAAATTCCTCTTTTCTCTAAACTACATGAACCTAACTAATCCAGGCTACCTGGGAATTTGCTTCCCTGTTCAGTACTGTAAAAGAGGAAACATTTTCCCCTCTACCTTTCTGAGTTCTTAGCTGAGACCCTTCTGTAATAAAAGATAGATTAGGAAGTTAGAGAAAGACAAACAGAAGCTTACTAACATGTATACCTCCTGTATACAGGGGAGACACCTAGGAAAACTGAGCAACTCCCCCAAATGACCCAAGCCACCACCTTAAATAACACCTCCAGCAAAAGACAAAAGAAGATGTTGGGGGTGGGGGAGGCCAGTTGTGAAAGGTAATGACCAAATGGCAAAGTAACAAGGGTAAGGTTTGTTATGTAGATTTAGTAGTTGCCTTTCTCAATTGCTAAAATTCCCTTAAGATTTAGTCACTGGACTCTTGCAAATGAAGATTACCTTTATAAATGTAAATGTCCCTTACAAAAGGGTAACTTCTGTTTTCAGAGCTTCTCTTGCACCTGCAGTTTCTCAAAATAACCCTAATGCCAGAGGCATATTTTGGGGTGGCATATTTTGGGGTGGCATATTTGCTGCCCTTCAATACCCTAACTATTTTGGAAAAATAAAGCACTCTGAAGTAACATCGCAACAAATATATTTAAAAGACACCTAATTTAGAAATATTGTTGGTCCTAAAAAAAAAAAAAAAAAAGACACTGCTCATTTCATTATAAGGAAGTAGTGTTTAAATAGAATGAACATAGATGCTAAAATCCTCAACAAAATATTAGCAAATCAGATCCAGCAATATATTAAAAAGATCATATAACATGACCAAGTGGGATTTATTCCAGGGATGCAAAGCTGGTACAATATTCGCAAATCAATAAACATGATACATCACATAAACAAATTGAAAGATAAAAATCACATGATCATATCAATAGATATAGAAAAAGCATTTGATAAAATCCAACACCCATTTTTGATAAAAACTCAGCAAAGTGGGAATAGTAGGATCATACCTCAACATAATAAAGGCCATATATGACAAACCTACAGCCAACATCATACTCAATGGGCAAAAACTAAAACCATTTCCCCTAAGAACAGGAACAAGACAGGGGTGTCCACTGTCACCACTCTCATTCAATACAGTACTGGAAGTCCTAGCCACAGCGATCAGACAAGAAGAAAACATAAAAGGCATCCAAATTGGAAAGAAGGAAATAAAACCGTCGTTCTTTGCAGATGACATATTGTACATAGAGAATCCTAAAGACTCCACCAGACAACTACTAGATTTAATAAATAAATTAAGCAAGGTTGCAGGATATAAAATTAACATCCAGAAATTGATGTCATTCTTATACACCAATAATGAACTCTCAGAAACAGAAACTAAAAAAACAATCCCATGTACCACTGCAACTAAAAAATTAAGATACCTAGGAATAAACTTAACCAAAGTTTTTTTGTAAAAGATCTTTATTCAGAAAGCTACAGGACACTAAAACAAAAAGAAATAGAGGAAGATATAAACAAATGGAAAAATATACCATGTTCATGGATTGGAAGAATTAACATCATTAAAACGTCCATACTACCCAAAGCAATCTATAAATTCAATGCAATCCGTATTAAAATACCAACAGCATATTTCACAGATGTAGAAAAAACACTTTAAAAATTTATATGGAACCAAAAAACACCCCGAATAGCCAAGGCAATCCTGAGAAAAGAACAAAGTTGGAGGGATCACAACACCAGATATCAAGTTATATACTACAAAGCCACTGTAATCAAAACGGCCTGGTACTGGCACAAGAACAGACATATCGATCAGTGTAACAGAACAGAGAACCCAGAAATTGACCCATGCCATTATGGTCAATTAATATTTGATAAAGGAGGCAAGAACATACAATGGAGTAAAGACAGTCTTCAATAAATTGTGTTGGAAAAATTGGACAAATACATGCAAAAAAATGAAACTAGATGAAACTAGACCACCAACTTACACCATACACAAAAGTAAATTCAAAATGGATAAAAGACTTAAATGTAAGGCATGAAACCATAAAAATCCTAGAAGAAAACATAGGCAGTAAAATCTCAGACATCTCTCATAGCAATATGTTTGCTGATACATCTCCTAGGGCAAGAGAAACTAAGGAGAAAATAAACAAATGGGACTGCATCAAAATAAAAAGCTTCTGCACAGCAAAAGAAATCATTAACAAAACGAAAAGGGAGCCCACTGTATGGGAGAACATATTTGCCAACGACACATCGGATAAAGGGTTAATATCCAAAATATATAAGGAACTTATACAATTTAACAAAAGAAAGACAATCCAATTAAAAAATGGGCAAAGGACCTAAATAGACACTTCCAAAGAGGACATACAAATGGCTAAGAGACATATGAAAAAATACTCAATGTGGCTAATCATCAGAGAGATGCAAATTAAAACCACAATGAGGTATCACTTCACCCCTGTCAGAATGGCTACCATCAACAAACAAGTCAACGAACTACAAGTGCTGGCGAGGGTGTAGAGAAAAGGGCACCCTAGTACACTGCTGGTGGGAATGCAGACTGGTGCAGCCACTATGGAAA